CACAAAGTACCAATTTTCATCATGCGCTCCTTTTGCTCACCAAACCCTCTTCTCTTTAGAATCAAATCCAATATTCAATTACCCACGTAATATATTCATCATCATACCTCTCTGTTTTTTATATTGCTACTTTTTTTCTCTACCATTTATGTACGTACTTCCTAATTTTCATGTTTAGGTGTACTTATTATTTGGAGCCCATCTCATTACTTTTTCTTTTTTTTTTTATTCTTTTTTTTATTTATTTTATTATACATTAGAGGATGATGGTCCATAGCCAAAGAAAAAGTCCATTCAAACAAACACTACCAAGAATTTGATTGTTAAAATTAATAAACTTACTTTCTCAATGTCATATTTCATGGTATAAAGATGAGGGGTTGTCAAATGTCATTTTATTCTCTACGTTTACTGAAAATAATGTGGTTGGATATCTTTATAATAATATATAGAAATTGCCAATAAAAGCATATTCCAAAATGTTTCTTGATTTATCATGCATATTAATTGTAAGTGTAAAAGCTTAATCTTTTGAAGTATATTAGAATTAAGGTGTTTTAAGGTTTGTGCTTAAAAGCTACATAAGCTTTACCACAAAGTTTCTTTAGCTCCAGTCAAGCTTAACCTATTAAGGAATGAGAAGCTTAAACTATTTTTTTTAATGTTTCCTTGTACCATAATGTTTTCCATTAAAAACTAATGGCTTAAGCTACTTTGGTTGTTTCACCATTAAAAATTACTTTGATTGTTTACGATATGGACAAATAAAATGAAACGGAGGTAATAATAATTTTTTTTTATTTTATATTCAATTATACACTTACGAAATTTTAACATTCCCACTCTTCAAACTCAATATATTGGGTCAGTCCTTGAATTCATTACGTGGTTCAACTTTAAGGCAATGAAGGTGACTATTAAGGTAGGCCAAAGGTCCCAAGAGGAAGAAGAGACCCACAAAAGTGGTCTCATTATAGTAATTTTATATCTCTTTAATATAATACGATCGCAAGCAATAAACACCTTTATTATATGTAAATAGGATATATAACTCCTTATATGTTCTTAAAAGTCCATAATCTTTTTTATTATTATTATTTTGTAAGCAATGGCATGTTGTTAGTAGAACGATTAAAAGATTAAAGTGCCCTTATATATTTGAAAATAAAATAAATGTAAAATGACAAAAATACTCTAACCAAAAAAGAGGGAAATGATATTTACATGTAAAATGGTATAAGAGCATTTTGGGAAGACCAAAATGACAGTTTAGAGAATTTGTTACTTAATATAGGCATGTGTAACATAAATCACTACTTAAATGTAATTTTCTGACATATTATACTAATTTAACCATTATTTGACAATTTTATTAAACTTAATGGACTTATATACCCAAAATAAGAGTTAGGAGAATTATTTGTCCAAAATTTAAACATTAGGAGTGTATTTTCTCACTTTATCCTACATCATATTAATTATGTGTTGGCTTCTCTTACAAATCAATAATTATTTAACATAATATTTCTTAGGACTTGTAATTTATTGATTCCCTCGTACATGAATTGTGTGTAGAATTAAAGTATAGTATCTTAAGCCAAAGAAAAAATAGTATTTTGCCCAACAACCTAAACACTAACGGTGAGTATGGGTGGGGTTATGGACTGTATGTGGGCCCATAACCCCTCCTACACTCACTATTGGTGTCGTAGTTGTCGGGCATTGTCAAATTATTATAAGCTAAAGCACAAGAAGTGTTCTTAAATTTCCTCGAAATGATTGCAGGTTCAACACATAATAATTTTCTTAAAAAAAAAATAGAAAAATTAAGTTGTATATACATTAAATCTGAGAAGGCCTAATTTAACGATTTGCTTTAGGCCTCAATTATATAGAGTCGGTTCTATTTAGCACTTATATATTTAAGACAGGAGCCTATGTAGTATTTTCTCACCCTTAAAAGGTTGATGATGGCATGTAATCTATGTAGATGTGTACAGTTATTGCCTAGATAAAAAAATAATATTAACACGCATTTAATTTCAAATACTCTGTAACTTAAATACTTATACAATTAAATGCATTTGATAACGTAACTTGATTTATAAATAAATGTCACTTAATTAAAAAAATGAACCGTTAACCAAACCAAAAGAAGTGTAGTTAAAATAACTAATAATTTTGTATGTTTCATTTTCAAAAGTGAGATTTGAATATTTTATAGTGAATATTAACTGAATACATATATACATATATACATATATACATATATATATATATACACACACACACACTAGCAATGTAATTGATATATAGACATATATAATTTTTTTTTTTTTTTGGCAGAACATATATAACTGATTACATGCACTATTATACATAAAACACATTTTTTGTATTTAAGAATTTATGAAAATCTTTTACTAGTTAGTATTTTAGAATTTAAATTGTTTAGCAAACAACAAAAGTTAATTCCCCAATACAAGTTACTAGTTAACCAATTCTCAATTAGTTTGGTTGCATTTAGTAACAAGAAATGTTTTTTGTTTTCTATTGTCAACATCTAAAAAGGCAAAACAAAAACAAAAATTATGTCAATAAAATGTTATATTTTTTCTATAACAGATAACGTTTTCAATTTTTATGAAGAAAAGAGAAAATATCAAAACAATGTTTCTTATATTTTCGGTACTGTAGCGCAGAAACGTTTTCACTAATGTTACTAAACAGACATTATTCATTTTAAATAAAATTCATATTATTTGTGTTATATACTAAGTTGCATATTAAATGTTAATAAAAATATTTATTTTTAATATAGAATATATTAAATTTTGTATATTATTTTTTATTTGATAAAAATATATTTTAATATATAATATATTAAATAATAATGTAAATTATTTTTGTGAAAAAATAATTTTTTATATAAAATATAATGTTATTAAATTATTAAGCAGTAGATATTTTATATTATTATATATCATATTTATATTATATTATATGTAAATATTAAATTATAATTAATTTACAATATTATAACACAATATATATTTTATTACATATAAGATATATTATTTAAAATTTAATATTTTTTATTCATAATAAATTATCATATGCTAAATATAATATATATCACATAATAAATATATACATCATTCATATACATGTATTTATATATAATTGGTGAGAATATTTTTGTCTTGGTATATCTAATTTTTGTACTTATGATATATTAGGTATTTTTAAGATATGTAATTTTAAATTAAATTTTCTAGATTAATGAATTTTTGATATTAATAAAAATAAGTGTCGTGCCTGAGTGGTTAGGTTGCTCTTTGTGTCCGAGAGTTCATGTTTAAGTCACATACCCCCTCATCCTCCCCTCTAATCACTAATTTCTAAAATTCTTGTCATAAATAAAATAAAAAGTTTAAAGAATTTTATGTACATTTTGTAACAAATATGTTATATTACTAAATACAATTATTATTTTATATTTTCAAATTTATGGCAATAATAATTATTAATAAATATCATTTTTGTTTTTTTATTTTTATTCAAAAAAGTAAAATTATATTTTTATTTTTTTAAAATTATAAAAATAAAAAACAAAAACGATACTAAACGTATCCTCACTGTGCGCGTGTATTTTTGGCAAATTATATGATGATTGCCTATTGCTTAAAAGGACAACACCAAACATTATCCTTTTATGTGATAATTCTGGATTCAGAGACAGTCAGTCCTGTCCATTGACAGAAAGGCACTCGTTTAGATCCAAAAGCAGCCAATCAGCAACTGAAGTCTGATTGCAAAATCTCTAGGCATGTAATGTGGCCATTGGCCAAGGGTAAAGATGAGAAATGAGAAAATTTGCTATTAAATAAAATATTTATTTATTTATTATTATTTTTTGAGAAATGTGTGTACAAGATTGCTTTGGTAATCTGACCAGTAAAGACGAACAACTGCATGTCTCTCATGTTCTGTAGTTTCAAATTTCATTCAACCATAATTTTGGAAATTTGCTAAAAAAATAATAATAATAAGAAGAAGAAGGAATATTAATAAGTATATTGGAAGAAAAAAATGAAAATTTTTAGATGGTCAAACTGTTTTTGAAAGTACATAATTTTAAACATTTTTCATAAATATAGTTATTTTATAAGTTCAGTATTTTCACAAATTATGTATTTACTCATAAACACATTTAAGAAAATACCAAATTTAAGGTTTAATTAAATAAAAAAGAATGCCTAAACTAAAACAATTTTAATCCATTGTACGGGAACATGGAACACAAGCTTTTTATTACATACTTAGCATAGATTGACTCAGCGTTCTAAGAAAAAACCTAGTTGTAAAAGACTTCTAACCACACATCTTCAAAGTTTACAGCTCTCAAATTCTCTTTTAACCACTATTTGGTAATTTGTTTGCATCTTTCAAATTCTCTGGTAACCACTCTTCCGTAATTTATTTCTAATTAGTAGGTCTATGTGGGACAGGGATACTACATGTGCTCACGATTAGATTGCTCTAAAAGACTTGACACTATTGGACAACCACGTTGCAAAAAGCAACGTTTTAAAAACCTCCACACCACCACCACGATATTGGAATATATATATATATACATATTTGACTGCAACTTAAATACTGACCATGTAATTTATTTATCAATTATAAACTAAAAGAAAACAATGATAAGGAAATTAATTTGTGCATATTAAAAAAATACAAATTATAATATATATATATATATATATATATATGATTTGGGATACTTACAAAAATTCATTGCGACACTAAAAAAATTTGAAAAATAGGTGACTCAACACAAGACAAGTAGCAAGATCGAAAGAGAACCGACAGTAAACCTAATTAGACTATAACATCAGATTTGTAATAAATGAAAGTCTAGTTTTAAAATGATGGAACATTAACATAGAATAAATGTAAAATACATAGATTAAGATATAATATTAAGAGAGAAATGAAAATAATACCCAAAACACAGGTATTTTTGTTTGTTGTTCCTTTCTTCAATGTCTCAAACGTTAACATACACGAGATTGGTTGGTTGGTAATGATATTCACAACCTTCTTACAAGTGATGAAATATATCATCATCTACATATATTTACCCAACAATTTTGCTTGTTTCATCATGAATTTTTAATAATTTCAAAGTAAAAAAATTAAAATAAAAAGAAAAAGAGAATTTTAATTGATTTCAATTTCTCATGCGTTTTGTTAATCTCCCCTGGAGGGACACCAAGGCGTCATGTCCATAGGATAACTTCCCAACACCCTCAAGAAGGACGTGAACTCCTGAACCTCCGCCAGCGCGTTCTGTGCCCTAACCTCCGCCATGGATGCTTCGAAGTCGACGTAGAACATGTACTCGAAGTGCTTCGCCGTCCCGACGTTCGCGTCGTCGACCAGCCTGATCGGACGGTTCCGGTGAGGTCGGCTCTCTATCTTCGTCAAGCTTATATTCCTGAAAGCGAACGCCGACAACACCTTGAACAGCACCGATGTCCCCTTCTCGTGCGCGAACACTATGCTCGTCTTGAACGGCCGGTCAGTCAGTGGTATGATCGGCTCCCGAGCAAGCATCACGAACCGAGTCACGTTGCTGGAATCGTCCTGGATCCCGTCCGCCAGGATCTGGAGTCCGTACAGTCCGGCGGCGCGTGCCGAAGCGATCGCCGCCGTGTCGCGTAGGTTGTTGGCTGCGATGTATTCCGCCGCCGCCGCGGTGTCGTCCACTGCCTCGATGGCGACTTTGAGGCCGAGTTTGTTGAGTGTGTGCTCGCACTGAGCCAAGGCCTGGGGATGGCTGATGACGCGGGTCAGGTAGTCTTTCCGGACCCCCGGGAGAGCTAAGAGGCAATGGTGGACGGGAAGCTGGACTTCGCCGACGATGTGGAGGCGGTGGCGGAGGAGGAGGTCGTAGTTACGGTGGATGCTTCCGCCGAGGGAATTCTCGACGGGCAACACCGCGCGGTCGGCGATCCAGAGCTCGACTGCTTGGAATGCAACTTCGAACTGATCACAAGGAATGGGTTCACAGTTGGGATAAGCTTTTCCAGCAGCCGCCTCGCTATACGCGCCGGGGACGCCCTGGTAGGCGACGCGTAGCGTGGAGCCGTGCATCGGCGCCGGAGAAAGATCGGTGATGGAGAGCGGCTTCGGGAGATTGTCAATCGGGACGAGATCTAGGGTTTTGTGGCCGTTAACGGCGGTGATGTTGTCGGCGTTGCCGCTCTTCTCCGTGTCTTGTTGCTGCGACACGACTTTGCTGGCCAGAATGGCGCACGTGCTTTGCCAGTCGGCCCGGCTCTTGCCGAAGCCACGCCCGATTTGGAAATTGGCGTTGGACGAGTTAGTATTGGTTGAATCGACTCGGTTGACGCATCGAACAAGGAGGATTCGATACGGGTCAACTCGGAACGTAGGAGTCCGAGTTAGGGACTTGAGACTAATACCCGAAGATGGAGAAAGAGATTGCATATTTGAGATTTGGGACTGAAATGGGATTAATTAAAAGACAGAGATAAAATTAGAATGAAAAAATGGAAGGAAAGAGGAATAGAGATGAGAGGAGAGTAAAGCTTGTTGTTCTCTGAGAAGGGAACGTCCAAGCTGAGAAATAGAATGGGTTCGTTTGGGGTTTTATAGGAGGGGTTACGAAGAGTAGAGAGGAATTGAGAGGATGGTATGTGGGGAGGTGGTTCGGTCAATCTCTCACCTACCCCCTAACTTTCTCTCTCTAACTTTCTCCCTCTGTCAATATATACAATACATACCAGCAATTAACTTTCCAATTGGCGTTAAGGTCTTAAAAATCTATGGATTGTGACTGCTTTTTTACAGACCCCTGCGATATTTTGGAAGTGACCTTTCCAAACCAATTACTTTTAGAATCAGCATATTCTGCAAATGAAAACACAATTTAATATAAGATATTTAAAATGAAATTTAATTGTGTTGAACGTACTTCAAAATGATTATGTGTACCAATTAAATTTAATTAAATCGCGTTACTTTCATTAAATCTAACCTCATCAGGTTACTTATTTTTGGGTTAGGATAGGTTTATATATATATATATAATCTAAATAATTTGTCAACAAAATGAATAGGTCGGTCCCTAATTATAATGAGAAAAGTTGATTGAGGTGAGAGAAAACATAGAAGTGGTTGTTGGGGTTCTGGCTGCTGCTTTGAGGAGGAGATGAAACCGCACAACCCACTTTCCATTCCTGCGAAGAGTTGCTGCTTTTTGTTGAGGACCACATACTTTACATCACACCTCATAAGGGTCCAACCGCGTTTTTTTTAGGTTTTATTTGATTAATTTATTTACCATTTGGACCCGACACATCTAATCTTTAGTTTTCCAAGTTTGTTCTTGTAGATCATGAGCAAATAATTCTTCCAACTGATCAAATTTTTACTCTATATTGCATTGATTTTTTTATTTTTTATTTTGTGGGAAGGACCAAATTAATGATACAAGCAATATCTGTGCAATAAGTTTTTTTTTATTTTTTTATTTTTTTTATTTATATATATATATGATTTATAATTATCTAAAATGTTTTCTTTATGAAAATTAGGTTGCAATATTCTCTTTTGGCATCCAATCCCATAAACTAATTTTTTTGAAAAATAACTCCTTAATTTATTCAAAAATTTGCAAAGACATTTTGCTATCAAATATTTATGTTTATTATGAAATAATTAAAAACAAAAAAATTGCAAAGGGAGTAGTATCAAAAGGTCTAATGCTAAGACCCTAGCTATTGCGGAATGGAGAGATCAAAATTGAGTAATCTTCCTTTATGTAAAGGTCACCACATTCTTGCCTAACTATTTATGCCATAACACTAAAAATTTACTTTAGCATTTGACATTACATGCAATGGATAGCGTAATGTACCCAACGGACATATATACTAATGTCAACCTCAAGTAGGTTTAGACATTGGCTATAATGGTTTTAGTCTTGTTCTTTATATATATACTCGTGTATAAATATATATTAGGATTGAGTAGGGCTTACATCCCTACACACGTAATCCATTTTCAGCATCATCCGACTGTGGAAGAATGTATCATTACTTTTTAAAAAGTTTGATAAAAAAAATTTTAAAAAAAAAAAAATTATTGAAGAATGAGTGTCGTTTTAACGCTTCGAACGCGCTCCCATTTTGACATTCCGTGCATGTTCTCGTTTCTGTTTCTATTATTTGTAACTTAATTTTGTTATTTTTGTATTTATGCTTACAAGATTTATTGACCTAGCTAGACCTTAGTTCTCTAAGTTACTCTCACGATCTCAACTTAATCTAAATTAAGTATGTGAAAAATCAATTGATGCAAAAATATTTTGAATCCCATTTACAATCTTCAAATATAATTGTTTAATATATTTTAACATTTAACATTGCTTTTAATCTTTAAATTTCATCGTTTAATTTCAATATTTAACATTCTCAGCAACATGGCTCGAATAACCTCACAATTTTTATTCACAGAAAATGTTAGCATATGACAAATTGTCCCAATTAAAATCATCACTAAGAAGTCTTATGTTCGGTTACAATGTTTGTAATTACTCTTGCAATATCAGTTGTTGAAATATGTATCCTTGTATATAATGTTTAAAATAGCAAAAAGTCCATTCTTTTATCAGATATATTATACTATTGATCGACTTTTGCACACAATTAACAATTTTTAGGATGTAGAAATGTTACCAAATCAATTTATATCTAGTTGATTAAATATTTCTTTAATTAATATATATCTGGATTATAAATAATGATTAATTTAACAACACATATGACCAAAACTACATTGATGAACTAATAAATATGTCATATATAATGTCCTTATATATATATATATATATACACACTAATGCTTCCAAAGTAATATTATTATTCACAGTAAGCCAATACTTAATTCCCATTGTTGTATTCAGAACATTGAGTAATTTATGTTTGCATTTGGTGTGAAGTAGACATCTTCAAACCAAGTAAACGTTAAACAATGGTTTGTTTTTTTGTTTTTTTTTTTTTTTGGAAAGGTAAACGTTAAACAATTAAGTCTTCGATGGAGTTATCTATTAGGGAAACAAATAGTTAAAAATATCTAAAATTTAATAATTCTTGATCTATTGTTAATTATGATGCATTCTATTGTTTAGGGTTTTTGGAATCAAGATTTTAATCCTGCCAAAGTAGTTTAATGATAAATATTACGCACATACCTGGAGTTTAGAGTTTGGAGGGTTGGCGTCCTTTTTCTTGAGAGGGAAGGTTAGGGGGGTGGTTCGGAATCGTAGGACCTCTAAGTCAAGCGAGTCATATGGGATTTCTTACGGGAAAATGCTGAATATTTGTTTTCTTTTCTTAATGCTCTCTTTGTTTTAATTTAAGTGTCGTTTTTTGAGAGTAGTAATTTTTAAGGAGATATATGAGACATACATAGTCCCCTGAAAGTTACTAACTTGTCATTTTAAGTTTTGAATATTTAAATTCTAAAAATATATATAGAAAAATGTGAAATATGTTGTTTGAAAAAAAAAAAGTAGACAATTATTTTGAAACAGCCGAAAATGAAAAGATTGACACTCTTTTGAAACTAAAGAAGTAAGTAAATACTCTCGCGTGCGCTTACACACACACTCATAAATGTTTATTATGGATCTTGAACTCCTAACCTCCCGAAGACGACAAATATGATTAATTTATTCTCCTAAATCAATTTGAATACCATGTTTGTGTATTTTCTACACACATCAATCACCTCATGGATGAGGGATATGATTTTTTTCTTTTCTCCTTAATCAAGTCGAAACTCAAAAAAATACTCCGTATATGTTTGTGTGTTTTTTCATAGGTAAATATTTACAAATACTTATTATGAAGTTCAAACTCCTCACGCTTTCCTCAAGGGATCAATCCATTCAACGGTCGATTGCTATTGAGAGTTAAATCCCTCATTCATCACAAACAGCGGAAGTATCATCACGTACATCACATCAACACAAGTATATATAGAAATAACAATCATACACGTACATTCACGCACAACACATTTTTTCACATAGTTCACCCAACTCTAGACTTATGTCCGTGAAAGAGAGAGATTTCATTATTATGTATCAAGAAAGAGAATATGCAACCATGTATCAAATCCTCACCCACTCACTCATCATCTTTATGAGGCTACATGTATACGTACACTCGAGAATTACATATACTCTCCCCTCTCCTCACAACACTCACCCTTAAACTCCCTCACATCTTTTCTCTGTTCCCTCTCTCTAAACCTCTCATACACATCTCTATTTATAGAGTCTTCTAAAATCCAATTCCATGTTAGACAAGTATTCTCCAACTTGCCTACAAGGAGTTACTATATCCGTCTTCAACTCTAAAATAGCGAGTACAAATTATTTCCTAAATCTTTAGCCGTTTCCCCAAGTTTTCTGGCTTCCAAAACTGATTAGGAAACTGTTTCCCGCAACTTCCAAAAATCTCACTATGTAACCCATCTGAACTGGTTCAACTTTGGCAATAGCCAAAAAGTTAACGCCGCACTTGAACCAGTTCAGCCCCGACTGAACTGGTTCAATTTTGACAGTAGCCAAAATCAAGTCTGCGAATCTTCAACCTCTCAAATCATTCACGTAATCAACGCGTGATTAGAATATGTCTTCATGTGCTCCACCATAACTATCTCCACATTTTCTCAAATTTCATCATTCCTATTTTTCTCTATCCACCCCATTGGTTTTCAATTGCTCACGCATGGCAGCCCACCAATTTTTAACTCATCTTCATCAATTATTTTTTTGGCTCAAAGTAACAAACCTCTCCTCTTCACTCTTCATATTCCCCTTTGCTTTTTATCGGGCTTAGAATAAACCACTTCATTTTTCACACCCTTTTTACCCCATCTTGAGAACTAGGACTCACTCTTGGCTTGTCCCCAAAACTTATTCCTTGTGGGTTTTAACTCTATCACCTTTGCCTCATCTTGAAAACGAGCATCATTCGGCTTGTCCTAAGACTTGTTCCTCGTAGGCTTCACACCATCACCTTCTTCATACCTTCGTGTCATCATTAACTCTGATTGAATCTCCATAGCACCTCATGATTATCTTCTGCTCTGACAAACTTCGTAACAATCTTCTTCTACTGATCTTTAAGACCAATCACAGGCTCTGACCCACCATTGACTCTGATACCAGTTGTTGGGGATTAATTAACTCTCTTCAACCCACTCAACGTTCGGTTGTTATTAAAAGTTAAATCCCTCATTCATCACATCACATCAATACAAGTATATATAGAGATAATAATTATACACATCTACGCACAACACAATATTTTACATGGTTTACCCAACTATAGGGTTATGTCAATGGGATAGAGAGATTTCATTATTATGTACTAAAGAAAAGAATATACAACCACATGTCAAAACCCTACTCACTTACTCATCATTTTTTATGAGGCTACATTTATATATTCGGAAATTACATATACTCTCCCCTTTCCTCACAACAATCGTCTTTAAACCCCTTACATCTTTCCTCTCTTCTATCCAAACCTCTCATGCCCATCTCTATTTATAGAATCTTCAAAAACCCAATTCATTGTTGGACTTGCTTACAAAAAGTTACAATA